AAAATAAGAATAATATTTGTCACTGTCAGACCTGACTGTGTTGTTTCTATGCTGCAGCCCCTCCCTAAAGCCATGCACAGCCCTGCAACATGAAACCTACCGCATCCAACTGTTTGTATGACAACACACTCTCATAAAACAACACAGCTTCCTCAGGCTGTCATGAAGCTAGATTAAAACAACTGACTGACTTTGTTTAAACTGGAAAAAAACCGTAGATGGTGAAGCCTACATGCATTTCATCAACTAAAGCTCACAGTGTAATCTATTCAAATAGCAGTCAAACAACTACGTAATGAGGGACCAGCATCGGTGTGACACAAAGAAGTCTGTTGTTTTATGTTTAACCAGTTGATTAAAAACTACTGTTGCCATCTGGTCATTCAAAGACTAAAGCTTTTTAATCACAAAAATAATACATTTATTTAACTTTTATGCTGAATTTACTGTAAGACTGTCTCCTCCAAAAGCTTTACCAGGAAATCCTCCTTGCTTTCTCAGTCAAACACTGATTATTTATTGTAAAGCAACTATTTACCTGGAAGATCTCTTCATATCTGCAAGGTGTCCGTTACAAGAGCAGTCGACAGTGGTGAGAAGCCGGAGCGGTTCCTGTTCTGTTCAGCAGCCAATACAACAAAACCAACTTCCTCCTTCACTGAGCAAACTTTTAGCTCTGTCTACGGAGGTCCTGTCATCCAATCACAGCACACTTCCTGAGCAGGGCAGACCCACCCCTCTGCCCAGTAACCACACCCCAGTTTTACCAAGAACTGTTGGAAATCTGATCCTTCAGCAGAAAGACAGGGTGGGAAGAACACAACATAAAACAATAGTGGTGAATAAAATATTAATTATTATACATTAAAGTGAAAGATGGATTATGGAATGAATGGAAAGGTAACTGTGGACAAGTGTTTCTGACTATGTTTAATCTAAGACAAACTTCCTCTGCAAGGTGCTGTGTTCCCTTGGCTGTGACACAAGGATACACTGGTGGCGTCGCAGAGGACAGCAGCAAATTTTATTTATATAGCACTTTTCTAAACACCAAAAAAAAAATAGCACATAAAGTGTAAAATAGTATAAAATCATAAAAACACCATCACTTAAGAAAAATAATAAAAGCACCATCACATAAACACTCAGCATACCACAAACTATACCAGAGTTAAAAGCCTGGGAGAAAAGGTAGGTTTTCAACAATGTGTGGAATGAAGTCGAGTTAGCTGCAGCTCTGACTTCAAGTGATAAATCATTCCAAAGTTTAGGGGCAGCTACCACTAACATCACCCCAACGCTTTAGTCTAGATCTGGTGCAGTCAACAAGTGCTGATCTATGGATCTAAGAGATCTAGCTGAGGTATAGATATGTAAGAGCTCAAATATATAAGAGGGAGCAAGATTATGCAGTGCTTCAAAAACATTTATCAATAATTTAAAAACAACCCTTTGCTGAACCCAAGGCCATTGACGAGAAGACAGAATAGAGGTTATGTGGTCAAATTTCTGGGCGCCTGTAAAAAGCCAGTCCGCCTTATTTTGAGCTAAGTCAAGTCTGGAGATCAATGTCTGGATGATCCCAAATTAAAGGGCGCTGCTCTAGGCAAGACTTGAGTCAATAAATGCATGAGTTGTTTTTATTGGAGACATTTAACGTTAAAAGCCTCAGTTTAAAAGAAGCTTGCCTTAACCACTGAATTTATCTGTTTATCCAATTTAAAAGAGACTCATCAAAACGCACTCTTAGATTCTTTACACATAGTTTTAAATAAGAGGTCATGATATCAAAATCCAGGTTATCCAAAGCTAGGTGTCTTGAACCAGAAAAGGAAACCAGATAATTTATAGTGACATCTGAGATTTACTGCAGGCCAACAGGACAGTGGACATGTAACATGATGGTGAGACTAGTCAGATGATACTAATGATGAAGACGTGCAGAATTCATATCTGCCCTGTTTTTTCTCTCCTCACAATCTGAATAATTAAAACCTCTCAAACATCCTGAGTGGGCTTTAAACTTCTGAAGCTGTAGAGCATCAGTGAGAGCAGCAGCTCACAACCTCGAGGCTTTAAATATAAAATACCTTCATCTCAAGCAGATATAAATGCTCATGTTCGGTACTTTGAAATATAAAATGTGATTAACTAAATATCAAGAATTTAAAATCAGGTTACCCCCGTTCCAAACAAGTACTTTCACTCAAGCACAGAGCTTTAAAAATACACGACTGACACAGTCCAGATCAGTGTATACTAACTATGGCTGCTTCACAAGTCTCCTATATGATTGTTCTGCGGCCCTTGATCCTTGCTTACTGTCGTTTGGTCGAGCAAGGATCGAGGACGTCCCAAAACTCTTACTCCTGCTTTAAGGATCAAGGAGCGAGGAAGCTGCTGGAGGAGCCATGAGTGAGGATACACGAGAGCATCCTTTGCAGAGGTTTATTATGCCCCCTTACGTGAAATTAGATGGTAATCGGATGCTTCAGATGTAAAATCTGAGGAAAGCATGTCTCATGTCCTTTAAAGTGTGTTTCCTTGATTCCTCTCTCCTTGCATCTTTTCCTTACATGGGTGGAGCCAAGACACAAGGAAAGGATGCAAGCAAAATGTGAACCCGTATGAGAGACATGGAGGCAGTCAAACATCAAAAAGTGCAGGTCAGGCTTTTTCCTGCCTCTGGCTGACACATAACTTGTTCAGACTGACTGAGGTCAGACAGACGGAAGGTAAAACAGCTCATTACAACAGTTTACAGTGACCCAGTGAACTTGCCCACAGCCCCGCTGGCCCACAGTACAAGAGCATGGATGCTACAAAATATGATGTGGAGTTATGTTGTCAACATTAGATGAATGTTTTCTGTCATTTCACACGAGATGCACCATCCGACAGGAGGAGGCTGTTACCTTTTGCCACCGGAGGAGCTGCTGGAGGAGGTGGTTCGACTCCGACTCTCCGCTCCCGCCTCTCGCTTCATCACAGTAAGGCGCTCTGTGGACATACTCTTCCTGAATTTAAGGAGAGGACAAAAAAGGAACAAAAGCAGTGACAGTATGGTCTGACATTAAAAACATATCACTACCCTTCTACTACAAATCATTTTCCTGATTAGATGGTGGCTATAAAAATAAATGAAACTTGACAGATAGGAAATAAAGTTTGAAAGAATTATGGACAGTGAAGCGGTAGGTGGGGTGACAAAAAAACCTCTGGTCACATCCCTTTATTTGTTGTTCTCAGTTTTTGTCATTATCTTCACTAGTTTACCCTTTTAACCCTAACAACTCTCTGCTGAGATTAAGAATAATTACAAAGCCTAAGTGAGTCCACAAATTTGTTTTCCGTTCTTAAATATACCTCTTAATGGACTGCAGCACCTCTTTCTTGGGAGATGAAGGGGAAGAGAGGAGGCGTTTTTGTTGAATGTAGCCGTTGCTCAGAGGCCTGGAGGGAAGAGCCTGCAGGAGCTGACGCACTGAAAAGTAAAAAACAATCATCAAAAGAGGAATCAGAGGATGCTGAGAATTTCACAGACAATTTATGCATAGCCCACTGTTCAAAATGATCACAGAATAACCCTTTATAATGTATGTGAGAGTGTTGTCCCTGAAGGTGCATGTGCAGGGAAACTTTTATTTATTAGTTTCAAGATCCATGTCATCAAGGGAAAGACTTTGTGCATTTGACATTAAAGGAGTGTCTGAGTGGACATATCAGATTTCCAATTTGGTGAGGCTGCCCACGACTTTCATTGTCTCCATTCAGTTGATTGGTTTTTTCAGCAGTAATGGGCCAATTTCACTGGAAAAAATGTGACAGTATCATCTCACTCTCAAATGACAAATAGTGTAATGTCAGCGCAGTAGAGGGGTTTGTTCCCCATTTTAAACCAGAATTACTTTGTTAGCATTCAGCAGCTACAGCTCCGGTAAGAGTTTGGTTGCATGTTAGTTCTAATGGGACATTCAATTGTCACTATCATCACAGTGATAGGCTCACATTTATCTTAGAAAAACACAGATGATTGATGAGAAAACTAACAATAAAGGGGACAGGACTTTGACTCTCCTTACTTACTTACCCTTGGTAGTTGGTGCTGACACTGTGGTGGCCAGTGGTCTCCTCCCAGCAGGATGGAAGCCTCCTGGTTGCGCCCCCAGGTTCTGCTCCTCGCAGTTTCCCAGTCGACGCAGGGCATCGGCTAGAGCAGCCTTCAGCAGCTGGATTTCATCCTCCTGTAGCTGCAGCCTCTGCTCCAGGTGGGACACCCGGTCCTCCATGTCCATGTTACTGCTAGCTGAAACCGTGTCATCTGGACAGGAAGTCAGCATATTACTGAATCTTTAAGTTTATATTGCAGGTCACAATGTCTCACAACAAGCCAACAAACACACAGGGACATGACAAATTTGCTTTTATTACTTATATTATTTATTAACAAAGCTCATCACTTCCCACAGTGACTACAACTTAGCACAAGTGTACAGTGCAGTGAACCACACATTAGCACTCTGAGGGTCTTAAGTTAAACTAATTTACAATTTATAAGACTCAAGTATAACACTGATAAAAGTAAGTGTGTTTAATAATTTGCTATTTATATATCACATGGATATTTAAACACTGTCAACACAAAATACTTGGAAAAACGTCACAGTTCTTCCCACAATGTTTGATTGGTGGATGGTTTTATGGAGGGGACGTGCTGCAACAATGCCCTTAGCAACAATGATAGGATGCACGGATATGTGAGAGAGAAGAGCTTATGAAGCATGTGTGACTGTGCATCAGACGGACTTTAAGACGGACTTTAAGGGAGAAAACATAAAATAAAAAGACTAAGAGCCACAAGTAACTGCTGTATTTTAACACTGGCACTTGTTTGTTTGGACATATACACAAACAGCTGCTTGTGGGCGAGTGTTACGCTGCTACTTTGTCAAACAATGGTTTTGAGTTTCTCACGGGTACAAGAGCATACAGGTATCTTGTCTGGTTTTAATAATTTAGACTGCCTGAGTGTGTGAGAAGGAAAAAAAAACACTAAATAGCTGGTTGTGTGTGAGAGAGAGAGAGAAGAAAGGGAACAAAGAGGGGGACGGGGACAGAGTTACTGAGGGAGAAACTAAGCTTTGTTTTCTTATTTACATCCTCGAGCATTAAGATTTAAAGTCTGTGGAGTTTTTAAACACCAGCAGAAATATTCTGATTGGCAGGTCGCTGTTTTGTTTGTACCATTGCTTTTGCATGTGTCGCTGTTCCTGCAGCTGCATAGGGCAGTAATGCAAATGTGAGAAAAAGGAGATGACAGTTACTTCATGTAAATAGGGGTGTAAATGACGCAGCTTTGAAAATATATAAAAAGTGTTTTATGAGCAAGGAGATACAGTATGCGTGTTAGGCTTTAAGGACACAAAGACAGTATGTAACTCCACAGAGTGCCTTTAAGTGTCCAAATTAAGAAGCTGTAATTAATTAAGAAGCTGTAATTTGGTCTTTTTAATAGCAAATTGTGTCTTAATCAAAAAGCAATGTATGCACTCTGTTAATATTATGTATATTTGCTTTTTCTCAAATTAATTGCTGAGCATTTGCAAATCTTTTTATGCAGTACTGAAGGATTATTGAATTCTCCCCATTTAACTGATTTATTTCCACCAGCAGAGGTAAACTGGTGTGAACTGGTGAACTGAGGTATACCATAGTTTATAAGTACATACTACTTTTATTAAGTCTCCCACATTCTAAAAATGGGATTTCTTTACATTTCTGCACACCTATTGGCCTTATATTCTCCTTTCAATTGACAGTATACACTCACTGGCCACTTTATTAGGTACACGTGTACAACTGTATGCAATTCAATGCAACACTTAACATTTGTGTGTATGAAGCTCAGAATGTTTCCATTTTTGGTGAAATCGTCATAAATGTATAAATTCAACTAAATGTTTATTATTGAAGTCATAGTTAAAGGTGATGTTGTACTGGACTACATTATATTTAGAGGTGCTCCTAATTAAAGCTAAAATACTTAAAATTATTCAAATAACACTACAAATATCACAAATTTCTAAAAGATTCTGTATAAGCCAGACTGCCTCTATGGCTCAAGCTGCATGAGATAAACCAAATTTTAGTTTTAATCACAAAATTCTAAATACACACACACACACACACACACACACATTCACACACTAAAATAACCTAAAACCAAAACAATGATGATGTAACATGAGCTTCTTTCCTTGTCTTGTTATTTTTAATGCAAAACTCACACTTGTGCAGTGCAAAGGTCAGATCTGCGCCAGTTTCAAGTTTTAACTGTAACTTATTGTAAAAAAAGCAAGAAAAACTTTACAGGTCACTCTGCTTCGGCACTGTCTCGCCACTATGACACTCCCAGCATGCATCACTTCAGCATTGCGAATTGAGCTGGGGGACACAAGTGCTACTGTTACTATGACTGTATCACATCTCACAGTCCAATGGGAAAGGAAAGGGTCAGAGGGAAAGCAAGCTTCAGATTTGGAGATCTGGAGCGCTGCTGTCAGACTGTCTCAAGCAGTCATCATTAACTTTCTGCTGAAATGATTTGATGTAGTGATCAGTCTGGCTTATCCAAATGGCATGCTTTGCTGAATATAAATAAAAATGTTTTAATTTAATTGTTACATTTCTTTTACATATCTTCAAAATGCATTTAATTCTGGTATTTGATTCAGTTAAAGTCAGAAGTTTAGATACACTTAGGCTGAAGTCTTTAAAACTGATTTTTTAACCACAACCACAGACGTCATGTTCACAAACTCATTTCAACAAGCCGGTTAGGACATGTACTTTATGCATGATGCAAGTATTTTTTTATTTTTATTTTTAGAGAACAACAAACTCAAGGTACTGACCTCAAGGAGGCCTACAGACCTGACTCAGATCCACCATCTGGGGGAATGGGCTAAAATTCCAGCAACTTCTTGTAAGAAGCTTGTGGAAGGCATCCTGAGCCATTTGATCCAAGATAAACAATTTAAAGGCAATGCTACAAATACTAAAAGCTGAAATAAATTGTTCTCTCTATTAGTATTCTGACACTTGACATACTTAAAATAAAGGAGTGATCCTAACTGACCTAAGACATGGACTGTTTATATGATTAAATGTCAGGAGTTGTGAAAAACAGAGCTGAAATGTATTTGGCTAACGTGTATGTAAACCTCTTACTTCAGCTGTAGATAGACAGATACTTTATTGATCCCACTGGTAATTCAGGTATTGTGTCCCACAGTTTCCAATACAGTTGAAATGGTGGATTGTGCTGCATCTCCCTTTTTGAATAGTTTCCAACTTCTAGAATCCTTATATTCATCTTTGCTGTGGTCCAAATGCTGCTTCAGAGCCAGTGACCCATTAGAAAATTAAAACTCCTGCCTCCTGAGGAGGGATATTAAATAAATAAATAAATACTCCAGCAAATCTCTTCTTACCTTCCTGCCTATGTTAGCTACTCTAACAGTACCTCATTCACTGATCACATGGATGATGCAGACAAACCATCATAGTCAGTTTCAGGAATAACCCAATTCTCATCTGTGGGAGAAATCAAGTCCTTGTTCTTTACATTAATTATTGTATACAAAATGAGTCCTTGCAACAGAATATAGGCAAAGTGAAAAAAATACAAGTAAATGGTACAAATAAAAAACAAACAGAGACAAACATAAGAAACAGAATTGAACTGAAGTACTGTGGAAAAGGACAGATTGTAGGTGGGAGGAGACGGAGGGTGAAAGAAAGAAAGGATTCAGAGTGAGAGAGAGATGGGAGTAGATGGAGAGAAGAATTATTAATTTTTAACTGACTACAGCAATAGCCCTGTTTATCTAACCTGCTGTAACCATCTGGTACAGAACACAATGAGGAGCAGACACGCTTTTTAAGTTGCACTAAATGCACACAGACTACAATCACTCTCACTAGAAGACTATACTATACCACAACCTATACACTAAAGAGTCTGTAGTGATGCTCAACTGTAGTCAAACCAGAAAACTAAATTATTGGTGGATGAAACATGGAAATATCTCTGCTACTCTTCAGCACAAGTGGATCATAAAGAAGCAAAGTTTGTCCTGATGGTGGCACCATGCAGAGACAGGCTCATGTTAGATTGTCAGGCTCAGAGCTACACTTTCACAGTTGGACCAGATGCCATCAGTCTAAGCTGGATTTAAGCCTCAACTGTGTTTTGAACTGAATCCTAATTACGTACATGCTAACACAAAGAGGCTTAGCATATGTGTTAATAACTCTTGGGCGTTGACATGCTGAATTTTGTCATATCAGCATATAAATATATTTAGAATGAAACACATAATGTGCACTTGGTTGTATGTTGAATATTGTTGAACTGTGTCTTGTTATCATGCTTTACAGAAAACAATTCCCCCCCAATTCTGGGCACTGATGTAAAGTAATATGCTGTCTTAATGTTCGCAACTTCAACTTTACTGTCCCTATGGGGGAATTTGGTTCGCAGCTTGGTGAATAATAAAATTCAGTACTCAACTGAAAATAGCTACACAAAAGATAAAAAAAACATATAAAATAATCTGAAGAATTATGTAATACTTGGCACTGTTAGTTTGAGTTATAGCAATTATTGTACCATGTCTTAGTAGCATTCTTAACATGTAGAGAGAAAGAAGGATGCATGTTGAAGCAGGAGAGGGAAGAGAGGAAGAGCTAACAACTGCAGAGATCAGCAGGGTTCACTTTCATCTCCTCTACTGTCAAGACACCTGTTTTAAAAACGCTGCCTAGTCGGCTAGCTTTCGATTTGCTCTTGAATTGCCTCACACACACAATAAAAACAGTTACACTTCAGCAGTATTCCATTACTCTCCTAATGAAAGCCACATCTATTTGAAATTCAGCAGGTGAGACACATGCGCACATGCACACACACACGCGTCATATTACAAGCTAACTTCCCTTTCCATCCCAGTCCAGACAGGCATTATTGTGAAGTGTTACTTAAAAACCAGCTGATGTGAGGCTGATACAGACAGACTGTATGGCTGCTATCAGGAAACAGAAATATCACCAGATGCGGAGGAGCTTGATGGACAAAGGAGTGAGAGGGAAGGAAGAAGCAAAGGAGAAGTTGGAGAAAGGGGAGTAGGAGGACAGAAGACAGACAGAAAGATATGTATGATAAAATTTTGAGGGGGTGTGCTAAATGTGCCTCAGTGTGTAAAGCTGCTGGAGTACGACAGTGAGATGGACAAAGCGAGGCTGATGCAGGGCATCAAGAAAACTGATGAAGGTGGAGCTCATCTGACCTACCTGCCATGGTGCCACACTGAGTGTCTGGTCCCTTCTCCTGTCAATCAATCAGTCATTCAGTCCACAGAGCAAACAGTCAGGTTGTCCACTTTCTCTCACTCTTCCTCTCCTAGAGGCTTTCGGGATTCGGACTCCCTCCCCTTCCTGTCTGTGATCAGTGCTCGATCACTTTCTCACACACACACACACACACACACACACACACACACACACATCTCCCATCCTGTCCTGCTGGACCACTCCCTCCTCCCACCTCTACTTCCTCCTCTCTCCCTTGCTTCCTGGACCACTCCCTGTTCCTCTTTGCATCCCCATCCCCTGTTTTTCCCTCCTCTTCTTCTCCTCCTCCTGTCCCGCAGGCAGAAGAGGTGGAGCTTGGCTCAGGGCCATGCACACACACAGTGCATCAGCATCACCATCTGTACAGCCAGGCACCACCAGGAAGAGATGCTGCAGACTCCAGGATCAGTAACACTCACAAAAGTGATGCAGCACACATGACCCACATGCTCTTACTATGCATTTGTATAACCTGTCCTGTGTGAAAAGGCTGTTGATATTCCATATTTATCTTATTGTAAAAAAAAAAAATCACTGAAAAGACCAATCTAACAACGAGCTGATCCTACTAATAAGTATTATGTGAATTATCAGCGTCTGACATATACAATTTCTCTGTGCTACAGAACTCCAACATTGTCCGAAAACCTTTAAAAACACTTACATAATGTTGCACTGGATGACACGTTCCTTAATTACCGCAAACCACAGCCAGCCTATTCCTTCAACTTAAACTGAAGGCCTAAACACAATAAGTGCTGAGTAACTGCTTGTTTTGTAGGCACAGTCAGATATGTGATGTTTTTTTCTTTTCATTTACAGTAAACAAAGCAGGCAAATCCCAGGGCTGTGCAGCAGCACAATGTGTCATGACTGACTCCATACGCTGCTTCAGTCTTTACATTTCAATCTACAGCTGAAAGAACATACAGTACTCTGCACTGCTAGCATGCACATAGAATGCATGGATGCATCTCAGCAGGTTGCAAAAAAACCTCATTTGCCTGTAATCGCAGTCCTGATGTCACTACAAACTGTTATTGTATGGATTTTCATGGAAAATACAGTGTTACAGTTCGATCTTTAAACTCATAAAAAACAGCCCATGTAAACTAGTGATAGACTGTTTATCAGCTGATATTTGATGTTTTTGGATAATCGGCATCGGGTGACACCTGCACATCTGCAGGCAGCCTTGTTGGTGTCTTTTTGTTATAAAGCTTATTTTTTTGATTACGTGAGGACATAAAAAAAAGTCAAATAAAGGGAGTGCCGAGTGTAGCAAACAGACACGGTGCTCATTTTTAAATTTTCAAATACTAACAAATACTTTCATAATCTTTTATTGTTAAATAAATGTTAATTTGTCTAATTAACAAGGGCCTTGCATCAGGGTCCAAGGAGAGCAGATCTGATGAACACTGAAGATCTCTGGTTACAGTGAGAGGGCAGATGGCAGAGGAGGACAAAAGGACAGACAAATGAAATAAAGGAGAAAATGGAGCCTGATGGAAAAAAGGAAGACAGAAGTTGGTTGCCTGAAGCTCCCTGGGGAGGTGCTAAGCTCAACAGGACATACAGCATCTGACTCAACAGGCCAGACAAAACAACAACTTCTACTGTCCTCTATTATTCTCTGTCTACCCAAATCAGCCGCAGCACTGCAGTGAAACACCTGATCACCATTTTCCCTCCTGACTTCTTGGTATTAAAACTTCACACAGGCCTATTTTCAGAATCTATAATTCAGGATTCAGTGCTGTAGAGTCCTTAAACTGTTGATCAGCTTTACAACTGGCCTCTCTATGATTTTAGGTGCACAGATGATTCCCTTCATCTTCCAGTGCTTTTAGCATTAGAAGAAACTTTCTCAGTGCCTCTGATAAGACACCGAATCCCTGATCCAGAGAGTCTGGCCTCTGACTTCTGGTGGTGGTGGAAAACTAACAGAAAGACAGTTCTTTTCTTTTGTGCATCAGTATCTGGAAATATCAGTAAATACATACCAGCCTGGTTTCTGACATTTGTGAGGATCTGCCCTGAGACATTTATTCTCTGATCACTTAACTTAATATAGTCCTACATTTGCCCTAAATCAAAGATCTAACCCCAAACTCAAGCCTTCTTTGTTTCTTCTTCTCAGCTTTCTATCCTTGTGAGAACATTTGTCGCTCAGAAATGCAAACAACTCATTAATTTACCGGTGTTCCATGAATCAGAATATCGGTGTGAGCATCAATTTCTCTGTCTTCAAGTGCATTTCAAGTTTATCTTAGAGCAGTAATTTCTTTAAAATACATTGCTTGAAAGAAATAAAGTTGCCACATATACCAGGTATAAATAATCAAAATTAAATGAAAATGTACTTATTTTGAAAATAAAACATCAGACACCTTGGACAAAATGCAAAAACCACCCAGGTTAAGCAGCTGATCCCTTCCTGTAGGACCAGCCGTCACTCAACAAGCTCTTCAGACAAACTGTAGTCGACATTAGTCACTAAATATTTTTATTTCTACGTTTCTATCACATACACCGAGTTCCTGTGAAGCTCATGGGCCTGTGTGTCTGTCTTAGAGCCATCGAGCTGCAGGACGCTTCGGACCACAACACTCACCAACTGCAAGTGAAGGGTACATGTTACATCTTGGATAACAAACATCCTAGCTCTGATCAGACTCTCATGACCGCTTGCAGTCTCTCCACCTGCTGCTCAATATGAGCGTCTGTGAAGTTTACCAGGCTGCACGGACAGTGTGTCAGAGTTCCCCCAGATAACAAAATCACCTTCTAAATAAATCCACACTGACAGTAAATAACAGAATGAGAAAAATGATCACCTTCTAAATAAATCCACACTGACTGTAATAACAGAATGAGAAAAATGTCTACTTTGTTTGAAACAGCTAAAGAAACCAGCGTTAACCAGGTGACAGAGCCAGATATGATCCACAGCAGCAAGGTATTTGCATTTTGGGTGCAGGAGGGAGAAGAGAGGCAAATTAAGCTGCTAAATGACCATCACAGACAATTACATATTCAACCCCAGAAAACGGGCCATGTTTAAAGGATGTAGCTGGAAATTTGTAATCATGGCAAGATTCCCATTCACAATGACAACCACCATTCTTCTGGCTAGTCATATCACAGGTGAAAAACACTGACTCAGCTTGACAGCTTACTAAAAGAGAAGATATCACTTCATTCTCTCACCATCAACTATAACCAAAAACTGTTATCGGGACAGGATAAAGCTCTTGGGGGAAAACAGAAAAACAAAAGCTACAAAAACATCAATGCAATGAGTGAAATATAGAAAATGCAGGGAGAACTACAAAAATGAATGAAAACAACATCATTTCGAATATTAAATAGGTTTCTTCTGCACATAGAAAATATATGTACACTGAATAATGTTTATCCACCCTCCAAATTATTGTCAGTGTGTCTGGAAGTCCCATTTATATTTTATCTACAACAATTGTACTCAGCCTGTATATTTGAAAACCTAAATGAAAATATTTTTTTCACCAAACTTTCCACCGAAGAAATGTCATTGTTAATGCATTTATGGGTCAATGTTTGCACGTTTCTAAGCACATTTCAGTTTGCCCTCCAAAATATATGCATTTATTCTTTTGGAGACATTCGTGATCTGAACATATTTCAGCTGTCTGGGCGGTGGGCTTCTCTCCCTCCCCTGTTGTCTGATGAAATGAGGGGCAGCTCACCATTGTTGCAATACTGTAGCAGCAGGTTGGTGCTGTCATACAGGCTCCCACACGAAGCTATCCTGTCCGTCATCCTTCCCTCTTCTCTTTTTCCTTCTTTCTTTCCAGATCTTCCTCCTCTCATTCGAGGTCTTTGTCCTTCCTTCACCCTTCTCCGTCTCTTCTTTGCGCCGTCACCCCGTCCTTTCTCCACCACATTCATAAACAAAACACAAACGCACGCACACCTTTACCTGTCTCAGCTCCCCTGCACTGCCAGCGTCAAGTCACATTAGGCAACAAAGCGCAATTTTGCCTACTGCTTTCAAAATAAGAGTCAAAACGACTACTGCGCCCACCTGGCGCTTAGTGATTATTTTGGATGAGGATTTCAGCATTTCCTTCCACCTTGTCATATTTTAATATCTTTGTAACACACCCTATTGTGTTCTGTATCAAATGTATAATTCAAGTTTAATTCAACACTCCCAATTTATTGTGCAAATACTCATTGTGTAAAATTGATTGAAATTAAACTTCCGGCTGTGTTGCAGTTGAACCTATTGTCTATTAAAATTTCACGATAGCCTTTGGTTAGCTATTTTGGCTATAGACAAAGAGACAGAGCTACTTACCGTAACCATATTTTAGCAAATCTTTGTCACGTTTGTATATTATTTACACACTTTTATGTTGAAGAGAAAATCACCTCTTTCCGGAAAAAGTCTAACGTTACTCTCGCTAACTTAACTAAACGTTTGCGCCTGTATCTGCCCTGCGTACCGCTGTTACTATAGCAACAGCCTCATCACCAGCTCCAGAGATGACACCACAAACAACACGCTTTAACTGAGGGGAAACCGGAACTACTACAGTATTAAACACGCACATCCTAACTGGCTTAAGCTAAAGTTTGAGACAAAAGAAAGGTGATCCCGATGTCAGGGTGTATTTCTGAATAATTTATTAATAGACGATGTGCCGCACAGGTGTTGTTAATTGATGCCAAACTACTGTCAGACAATATGGGAAAAGTGGGAGCTCCACCGTGGATTAAAATCATGCGCCCCAGACAAACAGCAATTCTTTCATGGGCCTAACTGTTATTTTTATTGTTAGATAAGAGTGGGCTATTAAATCAGACCATGAATTAATTATGACCAAGCTATTATCCTCCTAGAAGTGATAATATAAAAACAATTTAACTTAGATTCTTTCTTGACTATAGTTCGGATGATTTGGTGTAGACCTGTAAAAACCTTCTCTTACAACTGTCAGTAATGATAGATTTATTTAGAAAGTATTGACCGAAAGTGTAACTAGGTTATCATGTCTGACTTGACATATTTTACTTGCTGTAGTTTCTCACCGTGGCCGCTGGATGGCGGTAGTCAACTCCACCAGTATCGAGACATTATAAGATCTCCAAAATAAAAAACAACGTATTAAAGCAGCTCTTTATTAATGCTGTTCTACTAACACTGATATTAGTATTATTGTTTTAGTAAGAACTATAATAATAACGTGTTAATATTGAAAAATATAAATTAAAAAGAATTATCAGTGAATTTACATGGCGCTGCAGTTCCTCATCGTGACCACCGGTGGGCAGTAAACACTCGTACACTGCCAGCACGGTACCGCTACAATATTGTTTTGAAGAACCTGTACGACTGTAATGCGCCTGCGCCACAAACGTAAATTTTGTTATTGTCACGTGACAGCTGACGTAGCGTCATCAGTTACTGCCGAGTAGTGTTCTGTAGCTGTTAGAAATGATGAAATAACAGGAAATGTATTCTTCTGATTTGTGACAGTTCAGTCATTTTAAGCTAATCGAGGAGATAACGGGACTAAAATACCCGACTAACGTTAAGGTTAGCACTAAATTAACCGAAGAGTCGCTGAAACGGAGAAGAGGTGTGTTTCCAAACCGACTGAACTTACAGTAAGTTTATTGACGTCACTAGGAGCTACAGCTGCGAATCTGCGATAAGTTTTTTCTTGACTTGTTTTCCACATTTGTTGTTTTAGCAGATATTATAGACTTGCCCACATTCGGTCTCCAGTTCAGTGCACATGGACCAGTTCCAGGGCTCGCAAAATTTCAAAATCCCTGGTAGCCCTTCGGGCAGGTACTCTTTGGTTTTTACTAGCCCGAAATGAATTTAAGCAGCCTGAATAAAATAAGAAAAATATTTTTAATGTAGAATATCAATAATCAACAACTGTGTCATATTGAATCTGACATATCAACTGAAGTCACAAATGGCACTCGACGTTGAGGGCATAGCATCTTCTTCATCATCCTTCTCCTGTGCATCAGTCTCCATTTCTCTGCTCTTTGTTCTTGTCGGGGTTTTATGTTCCATGTGTCTTGAACCTTTTCCAGAAAACATCCAGAAACTAACTGCCTTGTCAGGGCAAAAAGATTCAACTGAATCCCCATTTATGGAGAGTTGCATGCAGTCATTCAGTGTGTCAGGCTGTAGAGATGTACGATATGCGGTCTTCACTCGGTTAAGCGTGATGCGGTACCCTGAACTAACTGATTTGTTCGTGTGATGTTTAAATTGTCATGCTGAAAATCAGTACTGCACTTGGATAAGATGGTACTGTAGTCCAGCATAAAATGTAGGAAGTGAACAAATTTCTCAGTCTTCATCTCCTGCACCACCCCCTTTGCTTTGGCAGCATCCTCTGGCTTAATTTCACTTCCTCCTCCCATATTCTCCATGTGAATAACAGTGGAAGTGT